CCCACACGCTCTTGACTACGGACCATCTTTATCTGCCGAGCAATATCAACCATCTCGTCAAAAGTAGCACCGGGTACCCTCTCCCGAATCATAAGCAACTGTAACTGATATGTGAGGCCATCAATGAACATCCTAATCCTCTCCCCATCTTCGGGAACCAAACAAACTGCGTGACGGGCCAACTCGGAAAACCTCATCTTGTACTGGGTCGCAGATATGCCATCCTGACGTAGCTGCTCAAACTGTCTGCGCAACTCCTCCCTACGAGACTGTGGCACAAACTTCTCCAAGAAGAGAATGAAGAACACACACCATATAAGTGGTATTACACCAACTGGCATGCGCCTCTCATAAGCCTCCCACCAACTGAAGGCAGCTCCAATAAACTGAAAAGTAGTGAATGAGATCCCACTGGTCTTCAGAATACATGTCGTGCGAAGAATCCGTTGGCACATGTCCAAAAATTCCCGGTGTCTGAAGTCCCTGCAACACCAGCTCTGGTGTACGGGTGGCGGGAGTCTGAGTACCTCCCCCGGCCTGAGAAATGGTTGTCGCGGCCGGAACAGAAATCGCCTAGGCAAGGTTGGTGCACACAGTCAAACTCTGAGCCAAAGCCTCCTGAAGGCCTCGAATCACAATGAACACAGTTGGTGCCTGAGTTGGCCCCACTGTCCCAACCATAGCTGGTACCTGCTCCTAAGCTGGAGAAACTGGTGGATCTGCAGGTGCCGCTCTAACTGTTGTACGAGCTGCACCCCTGCCCCTACCGTCGCCCCTACCGCGACATCGGACTCTCGTGGCCCTAGCTAGTGGCACTGGTGGTTGTCCTTCCTGACCGATAGTACATGTCCTCACCATATGTGAGAGAATAGAACAACATAAATTTAGTGACCGGAATCAACAAATCTGCACGACAAGAATACAAGAATGTAAAGTTTCCTAAGGGTTCGGCAGCCTCTCGAAGATAAGTACAGATGTCTTCGTACCGATCCGCAAAACTTTACTAAACATGCTCATGACACGTGAGACCTATGTAACCTAGGCTTTACTATCAAGTTGTCACGATCCAAAACTCGACCTGTCGTTATGGAGCCTATCATAGTACTAGGCAAGCCGATATCTCACGCATACTAACACTTTTAAAATCAAATATGCGGAAGTAAGTTTAAATAATTAAGAATTTCACAAAAACTAGATATGTACCTCAAAACCATTACAAGAATCCTCCCAAAAGATCTGGGTGTCACAGAGTACATGAGCATCTATATATATATAACAACATAGTCTCGTACACTATCTGGAAAGTAAGACATAAATACATAAAACTGAAATATAGAGAAAGGAGGATCAAGGTCTGCGGACGCCAAGCAGCTACCTCGATGATCTCCGAACAGGTAGACTTCACGATCAACAACTGGCGTGCCCTAAAATACCTGAATCTGCACACGAGATGCATGGTGTAGTGTGAGTACAACCAACTCAATAAGTATCGCAAATAAACAGTGCAAGGTAATAGGAGCTTAATTTGTTGAAGTCACTAGTTAAATCAGTAAAATTCTATCCCTTTTTTTATTAACATAATGTGAGATTTAAAGCTAGCACATAAGGCTTCGTGATACGAATATCCGTGTATGCATGTGCACTGGTCCTCAAATAACCTGCTCAATAGTATTATGGCATGTAGGGGAAAGAAAATAAGTAAATCAGATAAATGATCAAGAAATTACAAGTTTCACATACTGCACGACCAACTCATGTGCTGCACAGACAACTCACGTGCTAACAATAGAATCCGCACGGACAACTCACGTTTTAATAATGTCAATATATAGATTCGCACAGACAACTCACGTGTTGTACGGACAACTCACATGCTAATAATATCAATATGTATATTCGCATGGACAACTCACATGCTGCATGGACAACTCACGTGCCAATAATATAATCCGCCCAGCATAGCCGCAAGCCCCAGTCCAAAATATCATACATAAGCAATGTAGCAAGTGTATAAGTATGTCATAAATGAAATAAGATTCTCTTATCCCTTGACTGGTATAAATAACATATTAAAGTGTAGGCATGTGCAAAGTGTGCCATCGTAGCTCAATCCGAAAATGTCATTAATGAAAAGCATTTATCAGGTTCGTTCAGGGATTAAACCTCTAAGTAGACTCATCATGGCTCAATTAGATCACATAAATTGTTACCACATATTAGATATCGAAGCTAGAATCCTAACAGTCATTTCTGGGCTTATAGGAGCCCGAGCACAACCCAAACATGAATACACAACCCCGGTGCCCGCACACGGGATCATCCCCACACATGTGCACACCCAAAAGCACGTGGCTATCATAACAATTCACGTAACTAGTGTCTCAACCGAGTTTAAATACGATACTTACCTCAAGCAACTCGAATCACTCTGCTAGCAAGCCCTTGCCTCGCAAAACGGCCATTGAATGCCTTTAATCTAGCCACAAACAATTCGATACAATCAACACGAGATAAAGGAATTAATTCCATAAGAAAATACCAAGTTCTTAAATCAAAGGTCAAAAAGTCAACCTCCGAGGCCACGTCTCAGAATCCGGTAAAAGTCACAAAATCTAAACACACATTCAACCACGAGTCCAACCATACCAAAATTAGTCAAATTTGATCACAAAACGACCTTCAAATCCTCAAATTATAGTTTATGAAGTTTCTACAATTTTCCCCAAACTTTTCATCTCAAAATACTAATTAAATGATGAAAACAATAATATATTCATGTATATTAACTAAATCCGAGTTAGAATTACTTACCCCGATGAATTTCTTGAAAAAACTACAAACATCGCTACAAACCGAGCTCCCAAAGTCCAAATGTGAAATAATACTCTAACCTTCATTTATATAGTACAAAATCTGACCTCCCATTGTGTTGAACGCACATTTTTTTGTGCGGTCCGCGTTCCGCGGACGCAATCCAAATTGTGCGGTCGCACTTCAACAGTGACTGCACTACTAAACTTCAGTAAACTGATCATAGCTTTCTGTACAAATATCCAAATGCTAAATAGATTAACTTTATGAAAACTAGACTCAAAAGGCTACAACTTTTATTTTTGGATCCTCTTCAAATTCCATATAGATTAAAAGATATAAGCTTCCGAAGTCAGATCATCAAACCTGCAGATTCTCTTTTCTGCGGTCGCAAGAGGATTTTTGCGGTCCGCACATTTCCTCTACGGTCTGCACATGAGGATTTTCCTCAGCACTCCAAAATGTGCCCTCCGCACTTCAACTGTTCCAAAACATCATCAGAGTGCCAAAATGCACAAACTCGTTCAAAACTCACCCCGAAACACATCTGAGCCACTCGGGACCCCATCTGAATATACCAACAAGTCTCATTACATAATACGGATCTACTCGAGGCCTCAAATCTCGTCCAACAACATAAAGTCAACGAATCGCAACCCAATTCAAGCCCAATGAAAACTAAGGAATTTCAACTTCTACATTTGATGTCAAAACCTATCAAATCAAGTCCGACTGACCTCAAATTTTGCACACAAGTCATAAATGACATAACGGACCTATTTCAACTCCATGAGCCCCAATCAGAGCCCGATAACCACAAAGTCCACTCTCGGTCAAACTTCTAAATTTCCAACTTTCGCCATTTCAAGCCTATCAATCACAGACCTTCAAATCACTATCTTGACACGCTCTTAAGTCCAAAATTACCCAACGGAGCTAACAGAACCATCAAAACTCAATTCCGGAGTCGTTTACACATAAGTCAACATCCTGTCAACCTTTTCAACTTAAGTTTCCAACCTTGAGACTAAGTGTCTCAACTCATTCCGAAACCTCTGCGGACCCGAACCAACTACCCCGGCAAGTTACATAACAACAATAAACCAGAGAATGAGTAGTAAATGGGGGAACGAGGCTACAACTCTCAAAATGACCGGTCAGGTCGTTACATCATGGCTTCAAAATGATGGGTCGATTATTGATGGTATATGGGCGAGAGTACAGGATTTCGTGCATATCAGCAATAGTTTGGAATTTGATGATATAATACACTTCGTCATGCATGAACAAATCAGGACTTGTAATGTTATTCCACTTTTGATCGATATATCTTCGCATAGCATTATACCCTGAGCAATTCACAATTACATAAGCAATTAAGGATCCCCTCCACTCTCCGGTCTCTCGTTCCACTTCCTCTTTTTCTAGTTGGATCACAATCTTTCCATTAACTATTTGAGGTGCTATATAGGAAAGAGCCATACCGTTTTCCATAGTTTTGTTCTTAGAAAATAAGTTCACCCATGGCTGTGTTGGCTTCTCCTGTATTGAAGCAATTGGATCAGTGCCCTGTTTCAGTACTGTTTCATTGGGTTCCTGCACCACAGCTTCAATAGTTGTGCTATCGTGCTCAATTGATGATTCTACGGCCCCATTCCGCTTCTCAATTGTAAAATCTGAACTCAATTGAAGCTTCTTAGCAGCTCCTATTGGAGTTGAAGACCGCCAAGCCTCGTTAGGGTTCCTCACTTTACTCAGATGTGTTGGTGTTATTAACTCAGTTTCCAAATTTGTTGATTCTGGTTGCATGTGTGCACCGACAGAGCTTCCAAAGGTGACTATGGGTACTTTCTTTGTTCTTCCACCGCGTCCTCCTGCCATAGATATCCACACCGACGCAGGTTAACTAACTTGCGCCGAGAGCATGAGAAGAGAGCATTTTATTTTTCTTATTTTACACCAAGGTATTTGATATTTTATTCATTTTTCTCCCTGTGCTCATTTCTATATGATGGGGTCCATATATGAATCTCTGATCTTTAGTTTCGTTCTAGTCCAAGTGATGACAAGTAGTGATTTGTTGATTTTCTGCGAATTTTATTATTTCCTGCAATGCAATAGAAGATTAGTACCATATTTTTTATATAACAATTAACTTTATGCATAGTATTTTATCTTTATCAATGAGAGACGATGTATTGCATTTTTCTCATTCCCTAACTCGGAATTAAGAGAATGTCCCTAGTGTGTGATTGACATGGTTTAGCAGAATGAAGTTATAAAAAAAGCCAAAGCTTAATCAAATTAAGTTTATAAAAATCTGAAGTACTGACGTCCTTCATTAGGTAGTACTGTGCTCATCCCGAACTATTATTACTAGGAATTATTAAAAGTGGATGAATGCAGACTCCAAGAAAATATGGACAAATAATTCCTATTAAGTCGTGCTAGCCACAAGAAACCTTAGTCAAGTTTTATTTTTGCCTTCAAAGTTGTCAAACAGGGCATAGTATCTATCAAATATTCCACAAAAGCAGCCAAACCTAATGAATGCAATGCCAGGAAATTTCTTAGCTCATGTGTAAATACCATAATATTCATGAACCAAGACTAAGTTGGGGTTGTTCATAATGGAAACTATCGATCTTTTGGTTGATAGTCCAAAGTTCAAACTTCAGATAGATTGTCTAGGCAAACTTCAGACGTTTTCTCAAGTTTTTTGCATTGCCAAGCCGACACAAATTTTTGAAGTTTGAAACTGTCAGACTAAATGAGGTCCTTATTTGGGATCTCTTCGTGTTCTTAGCTTTTTGTATGTGGGTGACATGGTACATGGGAGTATCGCTAACAGAAAATTGTGGCTCTTGAGAGGATAAACAATAATTAATCTCAAGACTAAATTTAAGAAGAGTTTATGCCATGTTTGGTTGGTAGAAAATTACGGTATAATTATCCCGGAATTATAATATTTTTTTTATCCCAATGGAAAGGTAAATAACTATTCCTGGGATAATTAATCCTGAAATAAATTCTTTCCAACCAATCAACCCCTGAGAGGTTCAGTTCACACTTTTATTTATACTAATAGTAGGAAAATCTGTTTTAAAACTGTCAAGCCGCAAATAGTTATCTTTAGTCTAAATATGTATATATATCCTTCCGATATAAGTGGTAGTAAGAATTACGGTGTCAACTACATTTATAGGGCCATTTAAAGTAGTACAAGTCAAAATAGTAGTGAAAAGGAGAGTAACAAACAACAAGGACAAAGGGGTGATTTAACTAGAACAGAAAGTTCTAATAGTCTCGAGGTAACTCAAAAATACAGGCATTCAATTTGATCTTCAGCTTGCTCAGACATCTGAGCCATTCTTCTAATTTTTACTATTGATATGAATCCAAACAACTTCCAACTCGTATTTCATGGATGTTTTGCAAGTTATGAGAGATTGATTAAAATGTTAAATATTTGACTCGACGCATATGTCGCAAGGTAGGACACCAACCTTACTCCAAGAGAATTCGACATGGGTTATCAAGTGCATCAAATACAACAAAAGCGCATTGCTTAGAGAAAACTGGCAAAAATCGGGGCTATTTCACTCCCTCGATGGGTTCCCAATTCCTCGAAGGGAAAAGGTCTAGCTACAGGTGGTTTCGATGCAGAACCAATCAGTAAACATAGAAATTAAGCAGAGCTAAATGAACAGGAATTATGACAAGGAGCACCACCCGCTTCTTTATTTTTGCAGAATCAAGTAGTCATACAAAGAACTTTCTTATGTATTTTATGACCAAGAAGTCCACTGTTCAACTTCAAAACACAAAGATTAACAAACCCCTCTACCCGCATCCATCTAAATAAATACCAGACACGATGCAACAGACATATATCATGAGCAGTTAAATTAGAAATTTACTTATTCGATGTATCTTTAAACACTCGTAAGATTGTGGACTCTATAAATTCCAGAAGAGAGCAGCAATGGCACAAAACTAACCTCTCCCAAATTAAGCCACTATGCAGCACCCAAAGTGCTTTTAGTACCGTAGATATTGTTAGAGAATCAGACACTGACTTAGCCAATACAAAGGAAATATCAGTTCCGCCGAAATCAGGCACTAATGAGCCAAACTTTAGTTGGTAAGCCTTGAAAACACATGAATGATGCAACAACCACTTCAAATGCAAGACATATAAGGCAATCAATGCTAAACGATAAAATAATCACTCGGGACATAGCATTCTGGCAGTAAAATTGTAGAGAGAAGCGAACTTAAAAACACTTCCAATACTACCAAAGCATAGGCTAACATCCATGTTTGACTCAATGATAATAACCAAAGTTCCAACCTTCCATAAAACAACAATGTCATACAACCCTGCAACTCCAAGTTGACATTATCATATCATCATTGCCAAAAAGTGCACCATGGGAACACCAAACGAGCTAACATCTGGAGGAGCATAGATCATTTTCCTTTTCTGGTATATTATGGTTTATTTTCCTAGCGTTCCTTGAAGTTATAATCCACAATTGAAAAAGGTCCAGGAACTCAGTTGCCTAGCATCCACACTACACTACGCAGGTCGCAAATTTCATTAACAATGGTATCGGTCTCAAGTCCAAATTGTTCTGGACATCACTGAAAGTTCAGGTCAAAATTAAAATAATTTCTCAGTTTTGTATCTTTTCAATAAGTAACTGCACCTGATAATGAACCAAACGAATCCACCAGTCCACTAATCATAGCACTTTTCAAACAGCAAAACAATCTTCCCCAAGCAGAAACTGTAAACATCTTTAATTGAAATCTTAAAATTATATAAACACTAAAACAAATACATATATAATTATTACATTTAGTTAACGATCTATACCAACATTTCTTGTTTTGAGGTTACCGCGAATATATGGATGCAGATTATTAAAAACAAATAGCTAGCAGGCCAAGAGCCAATACTCCACATCAACAAACTCAAAATCAGATATAAAAAGCAACGTAAATAAAATAGAGCAAAAAAACAACACGAATAATAAGTAGCATAATTTTATAACAAAAAAACGGATATCAGAATCTCAATTCAGTGCCATTAGGGCAAAAACACTACTCAGATGTCGCTGAAATTTTAAACTAGAACTTAAAGCATAAACCTAAAGATGCGGTTCGGTTCGGTTCGATTAGGGCGAAATACGGTTTTACTTGGATCGCTGCCTCATCTTTCGGCGCTTCCTCTTCAATCTCCTCATACGCTTCTTCTTCCACTGAAAACGAAAACAAAAAATAATTAACAAAATTGAGGATTAAAAATTTACTGAAAATTGAAAATGATATGCCACAGAATTCATATACCTTAGCTCTCATTCTGAATTGGTGATGATCGAAAAGTTCTTTTTACTTATCAGAGCGAATCTATAAATGTAAGAAGAAATGCGGCAGTGATGGGAGGAAGTGAAGTTAGGGTTTCGTATGGTTTATATAGGAAAGCCTAGAGTTGTGTGATTGGTGGATTATGACGGATGGGCCAAAAGGTAATTTGACTTGGGCCCAGTTATCAGGCCCAAATTAGAATTTTTATCGTGGTTTTGAATGGGTCCAAATCTCCAGCCCAAAGAGGTCAGCGATATATAGGGATCCTTACACAAATAGCCGTTCATATTCACTTAATACTTTTTTTAATTGGCATACATAAATTATATATTCTATGGTAGATGTTGCTGGTAAGGATCTATTGTCTCTATTCGTCTTTTGAGCTAAGGGTCTCTCGAAACAACCTCTCTATTCCTTCGGGTAGGGGTAACATCTGTGTACACTAAATTATGAACTCCCCAAAGTACTGGGCAAGTCACCAACGAAGAAATAAAGTAAGAAACTATGCTTGTGCTGTTACGAGCTCTTAATCTCTCATCATTGTCTTTCAGTGGCAAATGAGAGTATAATTATTGGGTTCAACCGAATCTAACAATTTTGATTTATGTATATAAAAAATTAAAAATTCAAATTTTAACAAATATTAATTCTAAATTGATCTATATTATATTAAAAATATGAAAACCATATTGAAATGTTATTCGTCTTTTTTATCCTTCGTAAGTACGTTTTAAGTTGGATAAAACTGTAATTATATATAAACACTAATAATATATATCTTAGGAAAAAATAAAAATCCCGTTAATATCGTAAGCATGTACAAATCATATAGGAGTCTTCTTCACATTCGGTGGTCTTTTACAAATGGTGTCCTACTCAAATTCTTTTTGGTTTATGAATCCGACTTTTTGTATATTTGAAAACACTTCTATAAAAGGAGTTACAATTACAAAATCTTCATGAATTTTATCGTAGTTCGAAGTTGCAGCTGCTACTAGATTCATTCAACCTCCAGCTTTGTGTGTTTCTAGGTTTTCTTTTTAAGCCAATTTTTTTTTCTTTTCGTAACATCGTGTATATAGAAGAAGCAGAACAAAGAATTTGAGTTAGTATTGGTACGTGTATTATATTATTCACCTGAATTTTTGCAATAATATTATGAGAGAAATAAGAATAGAGTCATTGATACTTTGTACTTTTTATTTGGTTAATTTATACAAATCTTTTAGCGATATAAGTTGATGCTCTTCAAAAACTATAGATGATCGGTTGGTGGATTAAATTATCTGTGATTGTGTTTGTTTCTTTTGCAGATTACATTGATTGGTTATTTTATATCCCTTTGTCTTTCATTAGTTAAGAGGATTCTCTTCTACTTTTTATTATTTCTAAATGTCCATGATCACTTGGGATCCAACCGTAAATAGTAGAATTATTTAGATTTTTTTTTGTTTTACATAGCATAAACCCAATGCCACCGGAAGTCCTCTTGATAAATTCGTCTAAGTAAAATATTTGAATTGGAAAAGGAAAAAAATATAATCCATATAAATGAAAGAAACAAAGGAGAAACCTATTCTATTTAACATATTTAGTATCTTTGTTTTGTCTTTTCTTTCCGATAATAGTTTGGGTATAATTTATAAATATATGATAGTTGAATTTGTATCCTCTTTATCTCAAAATCTTTTATACCAACTTCATAAAATCACACTTTTATTTTATAGCTCAACGTCGAGCTATATTTGTTGCAACATATTTTCTGAGGAATATCAATATCAATAAAAAAAAAATTATGATCATGACAAAGCAACCGAAGCAATGTAAAGAAACGGACACTAAGAACATCATCTATGAAAATATATTAGGTATGATGCATATTATGTCATAACAGAAAATAGCTAATTATAAATACAATATTCTATACTTCACTAAGCTATTCATTATTGCAAGTTTAGAAGTTACTTGATTACTTTGAATTCAGCAACTTACTCAATGTTAACATTATTTTGTCATATAAATAAATGTAGCATTTATTATAACGTCTATTGCTATTTTATATAATTTGTTTCTTTTGTATATAATTTTTTGTTTATTGACACGTGTAACACACGTGCTCTATAACTAGTAATTTTAAAAGTGTAACAGGTTGATTGGGAGGACATAAAAGACTTTTACCATGATTGGATATTTTGATGCAAAGATTTGGATATTGGGGTCAAAGTTATGATAATTTGATGGGTCTCCTACTGTTAGGGGTGTTTATAAAAATCCGAAAAATCAAACCAAATCGAAATCGAACCAAACCGACTAAAAAATCGATACTTTTTCGGTTTGGTTTTGGTTTTAGCAGAATAGCCTAATGAACACTTCTGCTTGTCCCGTTTTATCATCCCGGTCCCGATACTCTACTGAGTTTCATCCAAACACTCCTAGTTGTTAAAACACAATACTTTAAACCCCATAGCCTCGCATGTACTTCAAACGCACGAAGTGGGTGACACGTCATCATCCACATCAGATTTTTTTATGACAAATCATTATTTTTTTCACTTTCATTTCAACAATTTTAATTTTCGTTTTCTTTTTTCACTCTTCTTCCCCACCTTGACCACCTAGCTTCATTTTTTCAGCAGAAACAACAGGATTTTCTATCTTTACTAGCGACATAATCGCCATGGACAACTAAAAGCAACCGTTCTCCAACTTTTCATCGTCCACATCTCGCTTTCAGAGATTTTTGTCCAATATCGTCGCCCACTACTTCAGATTTATCATATGAACCACCTTGAACTCCTTTCCTCCATTGATATATGTCAATGCACCACCACTGAAATTCCTTAATATCCTCATATATCCACACATTTTTATATTGTACACCTACCTAACCACAATAACCTTTATCAACCACTTTTCACCCTCCAAAACCACCACATCTCCACGGTAAACTGCCAAAAAACTAGATCTTCAGCTTCTCTCCATCAAATAAAAATTCACCATTATATATCGGGTCCACTACCTGAAAATTCATTAGTCCTAAAACGATTGTTACCCAAAACAGATTTAACACTGCAATGGCCATATATCTAAAATATCTGAGAAACACTAATGGTGGTTGCTCTTCAGAAAATGGGTTCTTAATATTTGTTCTCAAAAATTGATTGAAAGTTTGTGAAAACGGAGAGGGGGGAAAACGGGAAAGGCATAAGGGGAGAAAGAGAAAAGAAATGGAAGAGGGGTGGGGAAAGAATGGGAGAGGGTAAGGGTAGAAAAAGAATAAGAAATGGGGGAGGGATGGGGAAAAGAAGAAAGAGGAGACCCATTTTATTTTTTATTATTATTTTTTATCTTTTAATTTTTTCTACTAATTTTAATTATTTTTAGTCTAAGTTTTAGTGTTTACGCTCGTTGTTGTACGCGTGAAGTCCAACTCCGTCATTAAGTTGCCACATATGTTTGGTCAACGGTCAGAGTGTTTTCACAACTAGAAGTGTTTGGATGAAACTCAGTAGAGTATCAGGACCGGGATGACAAAACGAGACAAGTAGATGTGTTTATTAGGCTATTCTGCCTTTTGGTTTTCAATTTTAAAAACCGACCAAAATTGATTTGGATTTGATTTTAATCAATAAATAACCAGAAAAAAACGAACTAAACCGAATATAGAAGTAGCTATTTAAAATTTATTATTATACCTATATATATGTATTTTTATATAAAGTTTCTAAAATTTTATGTTACATTTTAATAGTTTGCACTTTCAATCTAGTTCTTTATTATTATAATAATCTAGTTCTTTGCCTTTACATTCTAGTTTGATTAGTAGTTTTCTTTTGCTAAGTACAAGAATTTATTTCATGTTAAAAATAAATTTTTTTCTAATTGAGTCCTAAAATTATTCATCACTATTTGGTTCAATTATCATCAATATATCTTGGTAAATGGTAGATTTCTCAAAGAGCAATTGGTTTGATAGTGTTATGTTGAAAATGTAGTCGTCGGAATATGTGTTTGGTAATGTATATATCATATTTAAGAAAAAACTGATAAATAGCCGAAAAATCGACAAAAACGACATACATCGGATCGATAAAAAACTGACTTAATTGGTTTGGTTTGGTTCCAAAATTTGAAAAACTCACTTGGTTTGGTTTCTTTTTAGGGAAAAACCGAACCATGAACACACCTACCTACTGCTAGTGAAATCATCAATTCAACTGTATCGTCTNTATATATATATATATTAAAAGCGTGAAGTCCCTTAGCGAAAAATTGTTCGACTTTGTTACCCTCTAAAAATAGAGCTCGCACTAGATAAAATAGTCATTTAATTATTTTCCTAATATTTAGTATTTTAAAATCAATTATATAAATTATTTTCTTATTTGGATTGTGTAAAATAGTTATAACTCGTTCCCATGATGGTAACTACGAGAAATCTAAGCACAATTAAAACTAATCATGCTTATTAAAAATTAGTGTATAATTTATGTATATCGGCTAGAACAAATAAACAATAAATTAGACCAGCTATTTATGTAAAGATCCCAACAGGTCCATGTTTTTAATCCCTAGCTATACTATAATAAAAACATATTTATCACTTTTCTTTAGGTTTCTTAAGAGTTACATTCTCTATCTATATTTACTACTTATATAAAAAAAAAACTTAATAAAGAGAGCATCCCTTAAAATTTTTAATGTAACTGATAATAGCTCCCCCACCCACCCACCCCCACACACATTGCCCTTTCCCCCCTTCCCTTCTAATTATCATGTATATCAATTATACAAAGCCCCTAAAGGCCTAAAGTCATGTTTTCATCTAATTTTCAAAAAGATTCCGAAATAGTTCTTTCTCTTCCATACATATCAACTCAAATCTCTCATCTTCACACAAATCCATCGACATTATCTCTAAAATTGCAGTAGCAAAGGGTTCTCCACTTACAATCATTAAAAAGTTTTGAAACTTTGAATTCAATATTCGGGTTTTACGAATTTGTGGTTTGTTTGGATTTGGTGTTTTTATAAGTGATTGAGAGCATACCTTTGAGTTTATATCTTATTTTTTAGGGAGATTGGTTAAGTTTAAAGTTAATTTTAGGTAAAATTTCAGATTGAAACTCGAAGAAGAAGAAATTTTAGAATTGTATCACGATTATATGATAATTATATCACAATTGTGTCAATATTCGAATTTAATGAATATGTGATTTGATTGGATTGATATTCTTCCAATCGATTGAGAATATACTTTAGAGTTTATATCTCAATTTTGAGGGAGATTTTTATTTGGTAAATTTTTAGGGAGATTGGTTAAATTTAGAGTTGGTTTTAGGTAAAATTTCAGATTGGAACGGGAAGAGGAGAAAAAGAAGAAGTTTTAGAATTGTATCACAATTGTATGATAATTTCTATCACAATTGTATTAGAATTCTTTTAGGAAAATATTGAAATTGTATCTGATGCATCAATACATGAAAAAATACCTGATACAAATACCGATACAAGTTTAATACAATATTTATATAAGAACTGTGTCAGTTTTTATTAGTTTGTACGTTTTTTATGTGATGTGTTCTTCCTCTTTGATTTTCAATATGAAAACTAAAGTTATGATTATTGGTAGATTTGTACTTTTTTTTTTTGGAGATTGTTACTTATTTTAGGTGGAATTTCATATATAAACTCGAAGAGGAAGACGTTCAAAATTGTATCATAATTATATTATAATTATTTTCAAATTGTATTATAAATGTATCATAATAGTATATGAATTGTATATGATACATCGATACGTAAAACAACCCGATACAATATTGTATCAGAATTATATAGGAAATTTATAAGAATTATATTAAATTTGTCTCAAAATTATATCTAAATTGTATTTGATTACATGATACAATTGCTAAATTTTAGGTTCGTTCATCTGTGAACATGTTAAGTATATAGAGACTTATTGGATTTTTTATTCGCAACTCTATTAGATTGAAGACTATTGAGCCTACTCGAAGAGACCAGGCAAAAAAAAGAAGAAAAAAAAAGAAAAAAGGAGAAGGGCGAAAGTCACTCAACCCTCGAACGCAATCAAATATCACAAATATGCGTAGAAGAAAAAGGAGAGAAGGGAGGAAAGAAAAGAGAAATGGATATAATTGAATGCTTAATAGTTAATTGAATACATTAATAATGAGGTGTGAACCCTTTAAGGGGGAATATATATAATTTATAAAAAGATAAAATTAAATATTTTTTAAAAGCTACAAAACCTAGAGAAAATGGGTAAATAAATTTCTATTATAGTTTATATAGGAAAAACTCCCTAGAAAGAAAAAAGGTTTCTCCATGTATAGATATTAATTAGTCGTAATTAAGCTTGAGATTTGAGAGAATCTCAAATCTGAGGTGTACATTCTCGATATTTTGTTAAGTTGATTAAATTTGAGGTGTCGGCTCTTTGAGATTTGCCAAAAAAACATACTTGTTAGATATAAATAAAGTCTATTAGATTTCATCTCCAACAAGCGGTCGTGCCGGAGTGGTTATCGGGCATGACTAGAAATCACGTGGGCTTTGCCCGCGCAGGTTCCAATCCTGCCGACCACGTTTTGTTTTGTTTCAATTATTTTGGGATTTTAGTCTATGAGTCGGTCAATAGCTCTCTGACTCTCTCCTTACTAGTACTATCCAAAAACCTTAATTCTGTTGTATTCCTCCAGAAATCACGTATTGTCTATGTTACTAACATTGTTTAAAGCTAAAACTTGAGGGAAAAAAATCATAACTACTCCATCTCAATTTATGTGATGGTGTTTTATTTTACACATTTATTTTAAGAATAAAAAGAAATACTTTTGAAATTTGCAGTTTGAAACAAGTCATAAAATATTCGTGGCGACGATAAATCATTTTATTAAGGATAAAATAGAAAGTTTAAAGTTAAATTGTTACTAAATATAAAAATATACCATTTTTTAGGACTGACTGAAAAGAAAAAACTTATAGCAGCGTAATGCACAAGACATCCCGCGTTCACGTATGGTTCAGGAAAGAACCATACTCAGTCCACAATAATGCAAACGTTAGTGATTGGATTCGGGGAAGGACCGCACTAAGCCAAGGCTCCCTTCTTAAAAAAAAAAAATTGTTACATATATTTAAAAGGAAGAGTACAATGTTGACACGTGGTAGGGCTTGATAAACCGCTACTAAGTGACCCCGCTAGTTGTTGATATATATATGCACAACTTTAATCGGTGGTGCGTTGCTTAATTTGAGAGGCAACCGTCGAAAATCTGACTAATTTAATCAGAATGACATTCACATTTCCTTGAAGTTCCTTAATCAGAGAGATAAAGCAACTAATATAACACAGTCAGTTCAGGAGTCACTTTTCAATGTCCCCATCACAGTGGGTACAAAGTTCTTTTTTATGGTCTCTTTCTTTTATGCTCTTTACTCAATTCATCCTCCAACTTTGCTCAATCAACTTCTCACCTTTTTAACATTTCTCATTTACTTTTTAGTTCCCTTATGTGGAATATGAGAAAATTATCATTTTCTTCAAAACGTAGGAATGAGGTAAAAGATGAGAATAAATACACTGAGAGTGAAGAGGAAAATGTTTGTATTATTGATTGGGAAGTTAGGCCTGGAGGTCTGTTGGTCCAGAAAAGAATTGGAGTTTCTGGTGAGGCCAATTTTGTTGCTGGTCCTATGATCAAGATCAAGGTTTCATATGATTCTTGTTACCATGATCTTACTGTTCCAGCTGAATCAACATTTGGTAAATCACTCAACTTTTGCTTTTTGATATTGTTATATCTCCTTGAGTTTCTTTACATTACTGGTCTCAAGTCTGAATAAATGAGGTAGGTTGATAATCTCTGTTAAATTAATCATAAATTTGTTATGAATATTCACAATTCATACATCAATAGAATATATAAAGAACTTATAGTATTTTTTTTATTTCTTTCCTTTTATTTTATTTTGTACTCCCTCTATTTACTTTCACTTGTTCACTGTACTAAAAAAAAAAATATTTTCACTTTTTCTTGTTAAATCAAGAGAAAGACAATTTTTTTTTTCTATCATTAACTACTCATTCCTCAAATTATTTTTCAAGACTTTTAAAAGTAATATCATTATTATGGATAAAATTGTAAAATATATACTCCATTTATTTTTTCTTAAAGGGGTGCAAAGTCAAAAGTTGATAAATAAAAGTGAACTGAGGGAGTATAATATAATATTGAATTTTTTATGTAACTAATGTTGAATTGAGATAAACTTGAGTGAAGCGATAGGAACAATGGGGATTCATGTAGTTAACATCAACTTGCTTGGGATTGAGGCGTAATTTTTATTGTTCTTGTTGTTCACCATACTTAACAACGTGCTTAATTAGATGGGATTTTCATAATTTCATGTTCCTAGTATATCTTGATGAATCTTCTTTATTTATGTACTTATATTAGTTAATTTAGCTTAGGGGTGTTTATTAATATTCCTTCGCTGGAAAATTACACTGTATAACATAATTAAAATTTTATTTTGATTATATACTATATATGTTAAATGTCTTTAGCTTTTTCGTGTGTTTACTTCTTTATATTTTGATACCCTTGATGAAATTCCTAGCTCCGTTCCTACTTGCTAGTATTTACTAAAATTAATTTGTGACTTAGTCGGTTTGTGTTAATCAAATGAAGGGGACCTGAAGAAAATTCTTACTGACAGAACTGGGCTACATCCCACAGTTCAGAGACTATTGTTCCAAGGAAAAGAAAAGGATAGCAATGAATGCTTGCACATTGCTGGTGTAAAAGACACGTCAAAATTGATCCTAATGGAAGATCCAGCAAGCAAAGAGATGAAGAAAATTCAAGATAACTCTGTCTCTTGTGAAGCCATTGCCCAAGTAAAAGTAGAGGTCGATAAGCTCTCACACAGGGTACGTAAGTGTTCCTGCTAATCAATCTTGCTACAAGAGTCGGAGGTAATTTCACGTGCGGTCATCCAACTTTTGTTTTGTTGCACCAAAGTTATAAATCCTATTTTTGTAACGGAAACATAACTCAAATTTGCATACATGTCACAAAAAATAAAAGTGCCAAGAAAATGCTAAATTCGGTGCCAGAAAGCACAAAGTTACCTTACCACATTGTCATGTAAGTATAGTCACTTCAATAACTTACCTTACGTAACATTCAAAAATTTATTTTCTGACCCAACATAATGCTCGATGTTTTTCACCATATGGTTATCATGGATTTCTTTTATTACTTTAAGTGGGTCATTAAACGGGCTTTTTTTCCGAAAGTGGTGCCATGTGGATTATACTATATAAGGTTAGTTGCCGAAGTGACAACGTCCTAGTTGTGTTTTTCTGGACCAGACGTTTTTATTTTATGTGAAATATAAGTAGTTGAGTTATTTTTCCGTTAGAAAAATTAGTGTTATAACTTTGGTAAAATAAATAGAAAGTTGGATGATCATCGATGAAATTAATCTCTAGAGTTCTGTTTATTTTTTATTTTCTTTCAAAGCAGGGATTCTTGATCATGTAAGTGTTGTTTCTCTTTGTAGGTTGTTACCCTAGAGGAAGCTGTGCTGAAAGGTATGAAAGTCGAAGACATGGAATTTGTTGTCCTTTCAGAGTTGTTTATGATTCAGCTTCTTACATTGGATAGTATTGAATCAGATGGAGAAGCAAGAACTCAGAGGAAGGAGGAGGTGAGTTATTGCATATCTAAAAACAGAATTAAGAACAAAGTTGCTAGTCCTTTTGCCTTTGCTGCTACATATTTTATGTATTTGTTGTTATAGTGGATAAAGTTCACTGACCATGCCTGAAATTTACCATCTATCTGATTTAGGCTAAACAAAATGAAGTTCATGTCAAAAACTTTAACGCACATAGGGGAAGAATTCTTGACCTCAAATAGACTAATTTGATTCTGCACGAGTGACGATGTATGCGGTGGCGGATCTAGACTAAACAGTTATGCGTTTGACTAGAACTAAAGAACAGTATAGTTTAATTTGTAACGTGATTTATAGACACGCGAATTAATTTGATCTAAGAGTATAAAATAACTAAGAGCAGAAATAAATTAATTAAAGAGACTTGAAGAAAATACAAGTATTAAAACAATGCATAGAATTAAAACAATGCATAGAGCAGAAGGAAAGAATGTTGTTAATAGAATAAGGGTAAGTTTAGTCTTTTTTACATACAAATGTTTTGTGCTTACAATGAGTACAAATTCCTATATTTATAGTTAAATTCAGGGACACGAGATTCCCAAATCAAACTCTTCTTTAATATGAGTAAAGACCCCTCTTGATGGTTGCATAACGGTTGAGTATAAATACAATGGTCGCTCCTTGAATGTTGCCTCCTCCAACCAATATTTTCTTTTCAAACTTTTGTCCCCGTTTTTAGCGTCTTCAGAACCCACACTTTTGTCCCCGATTTTAGCGCCGGTCACATATTCGTAACTGGTGTCAGCTATTTGTTGACTCATACCTTATATGTCTTTACTGTCACGTGTCATCTTGACAATCATCCACCTGTCATTCATCAATTTTATCTCATACATATGTGTATGTAAAAATAAAAATTCACATATATAAAAAGCAGAATATACTGACTCTAAATTTTGGATTCGCTATGAATGTCTGACTATCTATTTCTCCATATCTTGACAGGTTCATCGCATTCAGAGTCTCATTGATATGCTCGACAATTTTAAGGCAAGAAACTCTAACCTTATTAGCAATTGTGCTGGTACTTCATTGGTGACTACCAAATGGGAAACGTCTGCACCAAATCGATTACAACAATCCACAAAAATCACTCAGGAGTGGGAACTGTTTGACTGATTAATTCTTAGTTATGAGTTTCATATGAAATGATTGTCTTTTTTAACTCATTCTTCTTGCATATAATTATGGCGAAATACATACATAGACACCTAAAGTTGGCATCTTTTATGGGTTAAGAAATGCATGACGATATATCCAAAAGCGAATCTAGAGCGGGCGTTGTTAGTTCAACTGAGTTCACTATTTTTTAAAATTATTTTTGTATATATAAAAAGTTTGAAAATGTATGTATATAACAGGATAACCTTACATGAGATGGGAGCAAAAGCGAAACCACAATTTAAACTTTATCGGTTCTAAATATTACAACAACGATATCGGATTTTAGTAATTGGGTTCTAAATTTAATTTATGTACATATTTAGTAAATTTCTTAATTCATAGACACGATTTAGATTATAACTATTGGGTTCAGCCGAACCCGTACGCTAACTTCTAGCTCCGCCCCTAGACGAGAGCCTCTCATTTTACAACTTTAGCTCAATAAAGAACACTTAAAAAGGAAACTTAATTGGTCTTTCCTATGTATTCTTCATTCGCTACTTCGTCACATTTGCAAAAGAAATCATTTTTACTTCATAGGCAACGTGATGTATTGATTTTGCATACACTCAACAACAACAACAACAACATATCCAGTATGATCCTATACCGTGGGGTCTGGGGATATTGTGTATGCAAATTTTACCCTTATCTTGTGAGGATAGAAATGTTGTTTTCAATAGACCCTCGGCTCAGGAAAGTATAAGCACTACATTAATGAAAATATAGGCAAGAAAGGACAGTACCAAAAAGCCATATAAAAGCAGAATAAAAACAACAAGATAGTAAGGTGATCAACAATAAAAGAAAACAACGGTTAGTCATAAAAACCTACTACCAATAGAAAGTGAGACTGCGTGCCAATACTACTGTTGTGAAGACTCTACACTATCTACCCTACTACCCTAATCCTCGACCTCCATACCTTCCTATCAAGGATCATGTCCTCAGTCAGTTGAAGTTGCGCCATGTCTTGCCTAATCATCTCTCCCCACCTCTTCTTTGGCCTACCTCTAACTCTCCGTAGGCCCTCTAATGTCAACCTCTCACACCTCCTTATCGGAGCGTCTGTGCTCCTCCTCCTCACATGACCAAACCACCTAAGTCGTGCTTCCCACATCTTGTCCTCAATAAGGGCCACATCTACCTTGTCGCGAATAATCTCATTCCTAATCCTATCTAACCTGGTGTGCCCGCACATCCATCTCAACATCCTCATCTCTGCTACCTTTATCTTCTGAACATGAGCGATTTTGACTGGCCAACACTCAGCCCCATACAACATAGTCGGTCTGAGCACCACTCTATAGAACTTACCTTTAAGTTTTGGTGGCACCTTCTTGTCACACAAAACACCGGAAGTGAGCCTCCATTTCATCCATCCCGCCCCAATACGATGTGTGACATCTTCATTAATCTCCTCATCCCCCTGAATACTAGACTCAGAGTACTTAAAACTCCATCTCCTAGCGATGACCTGCGACTCTAGTCTCACCTCCCCTTCCCCTCCCCGAGTCTCACCACTGAACTTACACTTTAAGTATTCTGTCTTGGTCCTGCTCAACTTGAAACCTTTAGACTCCAGGGTCTGCCTCCATACTTTTGTAGTAGATAATTCCGAGTTAAGAAGATGTTCTGTAGCTAAATCGAATAATTTGGAGCTTTGAAGTTTGAGTAAAAGCCCAAGAAATTTAAATCGGGATCGCGTCCGGGGCTCGTGGACCGACGTTGCATACGAAAGTTAGAAGAAAGAGCAAGGACTAGAGCAAAACAAAAAAGCACTAGTGCGTCGCATAAGGCGTGGCATTAAGCGTTGTATTAGTACAAAATTTCGTCAAAAGTTTGAGAAGTTCAGAGACTTGGAGTTTTTGGGTCTGACAAAAAAATACACTAATGTTAGGCATAGTGCGTGGCATAGTGCGTAGCATCGGTACAAAATTTTATCAGACAAGCTAAGTTCAAAGAGTTTACAACCAAGCAAATTGCATTAATGCTACACACCCTGCGTAGCATAGTGCGACGCATGAAGTGTAAAAAGTTTATAGGTTTTTCCACTTTGGCTCAAAGAGGGTAGTTTTGTCCAGGTTCGTTCCTACTTGGTATAAATATACTAGAACCACATTTTTGAGAGGACTTTTGACATACTTTCGACCTAAGGAATCTAAGAAGGAGTTGGAAGAACACAAACATAAGGATTTCATCATTCCTTCCTCACTCAAGACCCGAGTTTGGATCGAATCTATATTTTTCTATACTTTAATTATATTTGTGATGAATTTCTCTATGCCTATGGAGTAGTTTCCTTTAGGGTTTGATAGATTTGGTGTATTGATGATTTTTTGTGGATTATAATTCTAGTTTTATGTATTGAATAGTTTTGGAAGATTTAATTGTGGTATCTATATTCACTAGTTCATGTAACCGAGAGATGCATAACTTGTGATATCTTTGCATTATATTGTTGGTTGAGTTAATAGATTCTTATAAGTAATCGAAAGAGGCTAGTTGAATAATTGATTAAACCTCGTTAGGAGAATAATCGAAAGAGGTTATCCTAAAGACCAATGCACTACGCATTCTTGCATATCTTCACATTGCTTAATTTGGTTCGTCTCGTGAGGTTAAGGCTTAATCGAGAGAGGAGTTTCTGCTGAACGTTTGAACCAATAATTGAGTGAATTCGAAAGACTCACTTGAACATTAGAAGTGAATTATCTAGAGTTAGATCCCGAACAATTATCTTGTACCTATCATATCAAAACCCTACCTTCTCCCGCTGATAACCTTATTTGTTTGTTCTTTGTCTCGATAATCACTAGTCAATAGCTTTAGATTCTCAGTTAATTTTAATTATTAGTCATATAAATCTCAACTGTTGATCCACCTGGATAGCAATCAAGCTAGAAACTACGAGAATACTGTTTAAATCCAATCTCTGTGGATACGATATTATACTATACTATCTTTGATTAGCGAGCATAATTTAAGTGTGTGTTTTGCGCTCGTCAGATATCACTCTTGTTCTTGTATACATGAACTATCGTGCTCCCCCTCCATTCTTCGGGCATCTTCTTCATTCTAAAAATGACATTAAATAACCTAGTGAGTCATTCCAAGCCCGCCTTGCCCGCACTCTTTCAAAACTCTGCTGGGATTTCATCCGGCCCTATCGCTTTGCCCCTGCTCATCTTACGCATAGCCCCCTCAACCTCATCAACTCTAATCCGCCTACAATACCCAAAGTCACAACGACTCCGGAGAGTTCCAAATCACCCAGTAAATACTCCTTTGGCTTAAAGATATAATGAAATAAATTCGGAGAATAGAGTCAAATCTTTTTATTTTCGGTATCAATTCAAACATAAAATCATTAATATTGCAAAATAAAATTTATATAATTAGAAATAAGATAAAAAGTAGGAGTAGTACTATACTTCAAAACCTATTATTATTGAAAAATATTTTTAAAAAAATGTTAAAAAGAATTGTTTGATTCTTCAAATATTAATAGTCATCCAAAATGGAACAGTATTAAGAATAGTAACTGACAAATCTGTCATTTTATTAGATAATTGAAGTGAAATTTCTTGTCTCCTCTCTTCTTGTGGTTCGCCAATTTAATCATGAAACGTCCAAAAACTTGATCAAATACATATTATTAGGGAAAAATATCCTAAAAACATGTTATTGAATTTGGTGATAGGTCTCTTTCTTAATTCTTTTCCTACTGCTGAACAAAAAAATTGGTAGCGGTTTGCTTGGATTTTCAATCTACATTCAATATTATTAATATTTGTGCACAAACAGAAACACAAATCCGTTGTAGTCTAGTTGGTCAGGATATTCGGCTCTCACCCGAAAGACCCGGGTTCAAGTCCCGGCAACGGAAACTAATTTTGTTTTTCCAATTAAATGCATCAAAACGATAGACAATTCCTTTTTCCTAAAGAAATGTTGATTTCTTAATTTTTTTTTTGCTCTTTGTTCCGCACAATATTGGGAAAAGTTTTCTGGAAAAATTTAAGGAAAAATAGTTTGTGAAAAAAGGTAACTGGTTTAAACAGTCGTAGTATTTTGTAAGTGAAACGAGATTTTTCAACCGCCTCTTTGCTATTCTCCATCGGAAATGCTTTTTTTAAAGAACTTTAAAAGATTTATTTTTAAAAAAAAAACTTAAAATAAATATGTTTTTTGAAAAACTTTTTTCTACTTAATTTATATACCTTTTTGCAAACGAACTGTCCAGACTAAAAAGTATTGAATGCGATTTTTTCCCCAGTGATTAGGTTAAATCATAAGAAGTAAAAGGTATTTAAATTAGAGAATGCACGGAGTCCTTTTCTTTTGTTGTAGCTCTAGAAATGAGTTTCACTAAAGAAGGATAATATTTTATCATCATTTGATAATTGAGAGGTGTTTAAAATCTTTTGAAAATTTCAATAATTATTGTCTTGTTCTAATAGTTGTAACTTGTTAGGATCGGGAAACCGGGTAGTGCGAAATTTAGCCAAACAATATTATAATGATAATAACAAAGACAATGCAAGTTGATAATAACAACAATTAAAGAAGATAAAGAAGACACAAATTTAACGTGGTTCGGTCAAGGTGACCTACGTCCACAAGCGTAGAGAAGCAATTTCACTATACCAACAAGAGTACAAAAGAGAGTACAAAATTAGAGTAAATACTCTAATTACCAAATACCCCAAGAGAATAACCTCACAAGACCACTCCAAAGAAAGGGTTCACACAAGTATTTCCCAACACCCACTCTCTTATAAAATACTCTATAATGAAATAAAGGAGGAGAAAGAAAGACAAGAGTGAAAAACTCTTGAATTGGTGTGTTTTCAAATG